TCATGCTTGCTATTTAGATAATAAGAACATTTATACATCAACAATACATACCTATAGCAAGGAAATACATCGATGGATGCCTTTGGCATGCACATCCTTACTATCTTTTTTATCCTGGCTTGCATATGACCTTTTGAATGGGATATTTTGTACGCGTGTATGTGTATATGTATGTATGTAGATATATATATTTACATATGCACATTCACGTCCTACAGAGATCTGCAAACCGGTACAGGTTAGGTCTTGCGCAAGTAATCCACTGAATGCTGCCTGTTTTTACTGGCGTGTCACCACGAGCATTACACAGCGTTCATCAGCCTGATGGACGATCCCTGAAAGAGCTGACAGTTTCTATCTCACTCATCAAGTCTGTGTTTTCAATCTATTTTATTTTTAGGCTTCTTATACCCACTGTTCTTCCTCCCATCTAAATTCCCGACAGGCTCTGCGCTATGCACCCAGCTTCGCCCTCAACGCGAAGCAGCACAGGGCCTCCACTGAAGCACCGAGGACCTCAGCGCCCACCTTTCGGTACAGACCTGCAGCCGGGAAAGCAGGGGCTCAGCCCGTTTCACGCTTTGCCCGCACTACGCAACTGCCTCAAATGAAGACACTTGTAACACAAACATAAAGAAAATGCTTGGTACTGGTCGACCAAGGGGATGAATAATAATATTTTAAAAATACAGGTACTCTTGTGCTGACCAAGGAGAGAAAGAGCTGTCAAGGTGGGAGTTGGAAGAGGGGGGGCTGTTTCTTTGCAGGGCAATGCTGTTTTACGCCCAGTTAAAGCGATGGTGAACAATCACCTGTAGGTCCAAAACTATCTCCAGTAGGTATGTTTTATAACTTGGCTGAATCTTCTCCTCCCTGAACAAATTTCCTATCTGTCTGCAATGTATTTGTACACCGTGTTCCTCTGAATTTTTTTTTTCCTTTTTTTAAGAATCCCTAAGCATTGGCTGTTACTAAAACTAGGAACATTATTCTGGAATACATTATTTGGTACTTTCGTTTCCCCTGAAAGTATAAATTTAGGAAGCTATTCTAACTAGGGGTTTATTCAAAATGCAAGCTTTATCAGCTGATACTTCTCCACACCCCATTTCCATTTTATAATTTTGCTTCATTTTGACTGAAAGTACAGCTCTAACAAACAAAAACTTAAAGAGAAAACTATGGATGAGGAACATTTTAGAGCCTTTGCAAAATTTAATACCTCTGGTTTTTTTACTGCAGTGTATATGTCATCACTGTAAAATAAGAATAACTTTTAATAATAATTGATGTGTAAAATAGTTCATCTTAACTTACCTCTTAAAGTTTTCCTTGTTTGCAGACCAATTCCTTCAATAAGTTTATGCATTTTTAGGTAAACTAAATTTTGCCTGCAATTCAAATGGATATTTCAGTGAGCAAGAAACACTCTTAATTTCAACTATTACATTCACTATAATGTAAGTTCTTATGGGCAGTTACATACTGTTGTGTTTAGTCTTCTCTTACTGCTTTTTGAAAGGTTTAGTTAAAATTTTGTTTCTTTTTTTTTTGTGAAAAAATATGATTTCACTTTTTTAAAATAAACTCTTCAAATGTATTAATTATTCCACTGATCTTCTGGTTTAATTGTGACAACTAAGGGCATATTAGTTCTTCCTAAACAAGTAATTATTGGTTTTATATGACTTATTCTACCCGTTTCTGACTGAAACTCCTTAAGCAAACACTCTTACTAATCTTTTTAAAAAAACTCAAAACCAATTGTTTTAACTCCCACTGTTATTAAAACTGGAAAAAAATTGCTTAAAAGGAACTTTTCCATTAAAACATTGTTGCAAGCTTTACAGATAGCAGGAAACTCATTTACCTTATTAATTCTAGATATTTTTTTGCAGGGGCTTATTTTCACATTCAGAGCATAAGTCTTTATACTTTAAATATTTCAGCTCAGAATTTCCAGTCTTCCCATTTCAATTAAACCCCGCAAACTTTTAAAAAGCTTTAAGAAAAAGTGTCTTTGACTTCACATTCTCTACATCTTCTCCAAACGTATTTGTGAACACCCCTGATTTATATCTAATGATTTCTGAATTAACACCATTATTGTACTGTCCCTTGCTGAATTTCCTCAGATTTATGTGCTTGGACATCATCCCTGAGGAAGTACCATTTACTAGTATTGCTTTCAGTCCTCCCTGTGATGATGATGATCACAGGAGGCCTTCCCAGATACTTTGCTCTGAGGGCATTATTACTACTGAGAGCCACCTCCCTTACTTTCCCACCAGCTGTAACCTCTCTTGCTTCCATGGAAGCAAGCTGATGCTCTCCTGCCTTTTCTTCAAGCCCTTTCTTCCTTTCTAAAATCTGACTGAGAGGTAGCTATGCTGGTTATCTACTTCAACAGTCTTGGCTGATCTTATCCTGTCTGCCACTGATTGCAGCATGCCTCCTGCAGTCCTGTCACTTTCTGTTCTCAGTTTCCCATCTTTTTAATCCCAAAACTTGCTTTAGTCATGTGATCATATTCTTGTGTTTCTTCCATATTGCTCTAATACTTAAAATACTTAAATAGAATACTTATTCTTCTAATACTTAAGAACCCCCACAGCAGAACTCTCCTGTTTTCCTTCTCACTGTTCTTAACACTCAGTCCCACATTTTGCTCTTTACATTTCCCCAGTCTCCAGCAATAATTTCTTTTAGGAGTCCAGGAGGATCTCCTTCTCCTTTGATTCATTCCTGGAAGTCCTTGTTGGGCTCCTCATGCTTAACATTTCTGTTACCCTATTCTAAGTAATTTGCAACCTTACACAAAGAGAAAAAAAACCAACAACAACACTATTTGTTCCAGACAACCAGATTTAAACCAGCAGCATGTGCCAGAAATACTGACTATATATCTTTAGGGTTTACTTCTCCACCAGCCAGCAACTGGGGAACCCCTGCTGTAAACTCAATACCAATGACACCAGCTGGGCTTCCTTTATTCAGGAAGGATGGCGACCAAGGAGATAGCGCAATCAACAGGCATGCAATTACTCGTGCCACGCAACTCTTCAGACCCCAAGCTTGCTAGACACGGCTTCCTTTACATACAGTGTATATTCTTCTCTCTAGCATATTAGTATTTAATAGTTGCTTACAAACCGTATTTACACACATATACTTAACCACTGTTATGCTTGTTATTTCAGCTGGTACATACGCTTTGAAACTAGATGTTATGCATATATAATTATCTTTAATAGATAACTGTATAGCTGAATAAGAAATAATGAAATTATACCTATACACACGCACACAGTCACCTGCAAATCCACCTAAACTACTCGATTTATGCCAGTTTGCCAGCATCAGGGTGACAACTTATTATTCAGCACCCTTCTGTCCAGAGCAAGGCCGCCACAGTAGTTGACAACCTCGGTGTTGTCACATACGATACTTATTATCATGTAAAATCAGAAACAGCTCCTAGCTGCACGCTGTGACCCTGCCTGGCAGTGATGAGGTTTTTCCCCCTTCCTTAGTGTCAGAGCTGTTTTCCTCCACTCCTCAGCAACACTGGTGAGCACCGCCCCACACTGCTTACCAGACTGAAGTCCCTCTCTGGGGATGACTGGAGTCCTCTGCTGGGTGGATCTTGACAGGGCTCCAACAGCAGAGGACAGTGGAGTAAAGAGTCTCTTTGTAAAATGCACTGAGCGAATGACACCTCAAACCCAGAGTTTCGGCTCTCTGCTGGAGGTGAGAGAGAAACTTGTTATCAATTACATTACACTTAAGGTTTTTCAAACACAAAATCACAAATTCTCATGTAATCTCATGGCCTTGGGATTGCACGTTTAGACAGACAGGGCTGCATCCTGTTAGGGGTGAAGTGAAAAAGAAGCATGGATGTGCTGTTGAGTATGAAGCAAATTAGAAAGTTTTGATCACATGCCACAGTTGCTTTTTTTCCCCCCAATTGTGTCAAGCCATGAAATGGACTGCCTATTATCTGGATAATAAATTTGGGATTTTCACTTGTCTTCTGGATTTCTCTCTCTGAAGCCACATTGGTTGACAATTTTTTTTCTCAATCAAGAACATTGTTTTCTTCAGTGAAATACTTTGTCATTGGCTCCCACGGCTTCTTGGTCTGTGTTCTGTTCACTTCTAAAGCACATGCTACTCTAGAGGCAGCACAATGGATGAAGCCTAGTTTCCTACCGACTTGTTTCCTTCAGCCCCAAAGCTCTTCCTAGTCCCTCTGTGGCAAATAATAACCTCCCTTGCTGTCCTACTGCAGCCCTGGCTAACTCTGTCAGGAGACAGCAAGCCTTGTGGCCATCCCTGTGATCGCCAATGGCCAAAGCAGCTTGCTGTGGCTGTGCCAGCCAAACTTTCCCTTGCTGGGTGTAACGCTGTGTATCTGCCACAGAGCTACCAGCGTTCATGAAGGTCCCTCAAGCTTCAGGGTGACAAGATCACCTCTTCCTTGAAGGGTAACAGCAAGTGTGTGAAAGGGACATGCCTTCCTCCCTCCTCCCCACATCCCAGCGGTGCACGACCCAGCATAGAATCGTCTAGGTTGAAAGGGGCCTTTAAGATCAGCGAGTCCAACCATCAACCTAACACTGCCAAAAGCACCACTAAACCATGACCCTAAGCGCCACCACCTACCCATCTCTTAAATACTTCCAGGGATGGTGACCCCACCACTTCCCTGGGCAGCCTGTTACAGTTCTTGACAACCCTTTCTGTGAAGAATTTTTTCCTCATATCCAATCTAAACCTCCCCAGCGTAACTTGAGGCCATTCCCTCTTGTCCTATTACTTGTTAGTTGGGAGAAGAGATCTACCACGACCTCGCTACAACCTCCTTTCAGGTAGTTACAGAGAGCGATAAGGTCTCCGTTTTCTCCAGGCTAAACAACCCCGGTTCCCTCAGCTGCTCCTCGTAAGACTTGTTCTCCAGACCCTTCACCAGCTTAGTTACCCTTCTCTGGACACACTCAATGTCCTTCTCGTAGCGAGGGGGCCCAGAACGAGTTATCCCCGCTCCGCTCACTCCCTGCCCCAGCAGCTGCGGGACAACCACCCGGGACCGCCTCAGGACCATTACGGACCCCACCGGCCGTGTCCCCAGCGAGAGCCCGGAGCAAGCTGGGCCTGCGCCCCCCGCGGGCTGCTG